TCCAGCGGCAAAGCCCACATGCGGTTCCCAGAGAAATTTCGGCACACCCCTCACGCGCTTCGTGGCCCCATCGGGAGCTCCACCAAAGGCTGCCCTGAAACCCAAACTTCCCTAGGCACCCTTCTGATGGCCTGGCGCCCCTTGCACCCTGTCGTCGTTGCCAGGCCACAGTCTGCACGTGGCCACTCCAGATCGGCGTCTGCAATGGGTGCGGTTTGCGAGGGGTGCGGCACGCCTCCCGTCATACCTGCCCTTCCCGCCCCCGGGGAAAAGATGGCACTGTCACTCAATGCGACCGAATCACATGACACGGTCGCTCCTTCTAGCACAATGGAGCACACATCGAGGATGACAGCGTCGCTCGACGACAACTATGACGTTGTCTCTCGCAAATGTCCTGGAAAGGCCGCCACAAGGCCACTCGCGAACCGCGCCCCGGCGTAACCGCACGGATTGTAGTCGCCGACCAGAGTCCTTCGGGCGGCCTCGCAGTGGAGCCGGCTCTGCGCGGCTTCGAATGTGGCCGGGCGCAGTCGGCGCGGCGACACGCGCCCGCGCGGCACCGGTCGGGGGCGGCGCGTCCAGCGCCCGCCTGCCCGGGGCCCCCGTGGGCGGCGCGCCTGCAGAGCGGTTTTCGACCGAGAAGATTGAACGGGCCCTGAGACACGCAAATGAATGCGCACAAATAAAAATATTCCCTATGTTTTCCGATACTTTCTGCGTTTTCGCCTTCCCCCCACTTCCCATATGTCCCCCAATTTTCTGGGGAATCGGCGATGAAATGTGTCTGTGTGTTTCTTCCCCTCCTGAAAGATACCAGGGGCGATGTCTCGTCTGTGCTCCTCCATTCGTTGCGCGCCCATCTGTGCGTCGCCCACTCTGGGATCATCCCGCTCTCCTTCACGAACCACGCGTAGACTCGAGCAGCGCCATTCTGATCTCAACGCCGGGTCGCGGCCCCTCTCGAAGAGCGGGCGTGGAGCGCGCGGGCGTCGCCCCCCTGCTCCGTCCAGAGGCGAGTCAGCGCCGGGCGGCGCGACCTCTGCGACTGCAGCTTCTTGCCCGAGCCCACGAAAGATCGCGTCGAGTGGATCGCGGTGTCGCCAGGCCGCGGCCGCGACCTCGATGGCTCTGGGACCTGGCTCCGCTAGAGAGCTGATCCGGAGACTTCTTCCCCGTCTTGGCGCGAGGGCGACGCGCGGGTGCCCGTCCGCTCGCACGCGGCGCTCAACGGTAGAGGGAAGGTCCTCCTTGTGATGTCCCCGATCGGTGCGTGCAGACTGCCTGCGTCTCGAGGGAAGCTACACCTCTCGCCCGCCACGTCCTGCCGCTGCCCGCACAGCTAGAGCCTATAACGCTTGAAATTCGTGGGCGGAGACCTCGAACGCGCCTCGGACGCCACGAGAGAAGTAGTCCGTCGTCAGCGCATGCCGTCCCGGCGCCCTCTGTCGCGGGCTGTCCCAGAACCTGTCCTCTTTCGCGCGGCCGACGACGACTCGCCGATGCCTTCGTCGCCCTCGTAGTGGTTTCGAACTGCCCGAAACGGGTCTCCTTGCCAGCTGGAGTCCTCAGCGTCCGCGGCGGCGTCCTCAGTCTGGCTGAGACCTAACAGTATCGGCCGATGGGTAGGAATGATAACTGAAACCGGTGTGCTTGCATGATTGCTGCAATCGCGTTCCGCCTCCCGCTGTCCGTTAGCCGTGGCCGATCGAACGCAGCGAGCCCGGCGATGCACAACAAGGCGTCAAACTTCTCATTGGCCCGAGCGAACTGCTCCGTTGTAGGGATGCGTTCAGCAGCCTGCGCTTCTTGAGAAGGTCATTGGTAGCCGTGTCGTCAATCGGTCCTTGTCTGGTGCACTGTGGCCAACAGCTCCCCCGTCGGACAGGGGCCCTATGCTGGCCGCGTCTCGATAAGGCAGTTCAGTGAACCACTGCCGTCCGTGCCGCTTCTGCCTCGCGAGCCCCATAGGTCTCTCACCCAATGCGTCAAAAATCTCCCGTGGCCAGAGCGTCGCGGGGTCCAGCTGATCTTGCGGGTTCTTTTCCATTGAGACGCACGAAGAAATAGCAAAGTTCTGCGCGAGGTACTGGGCTCGGTCAGCAGTTGCGCAGCCACCAACCGCAGCCAGCGCAGCTGCCAGGGCTGACGATGCCCTGTAATGGCGTAGCGTCGACGATGTGTCTCATCGGTGGGGCGGAAGCCCTGTGGCAAGGCGCAGTATTCGCTGCTGGTACCTCTGCCCTGCCCGTGTCCAATTAAGTTGCGCCCGTCCTTGATCGTCCCTCGGCGACTCGTACACCTGCCAACCCCATCCGATCCCAAGAACCTCTAGAAACGGCGCGAAAGGGTGACATGATGTAAGCGCACTCTGAGAGTGTGTCGATATTAGGCGGGGGGGCTCTGGATGTGAAGCTGCGTCCGGTAGCTTCTGCTGTCCAGGGGTGCGAGTTGTCTCGGCCTCCGTCGCCTGGACGTTAAGCGCCTTCCTCGTCCTCCTCCATGCCGCCCTAGCTGTTTGTTTGGTGGACGACAAAAGCTAGCTCCTGGCTGGGCAACCACCTACTGGAGCTAGCTTGTGTACGGAAGCGCTGGCCGTTGAGCCCTGACCCCAAGGGGAAGGACACCCCCAGGAGACGGCTTCACCCAGAGGGGCTACGGACACACACACACAAACACAAACACACACACACACAAACACACACGCACGCACGCATGCACGCGCGCACGCACGTACACACGCACGCACGCACGCGCGCGCAACACACACACACACACTCTTCTTCCTCCAGTGGCGAAGTGACCCAACTGTCGCGAGAGCAAGGTCTTGTGGGGGATATATCATACTGCAACCAGCCTTATAGATGATACGAATAGAGGAGTCACGGGACACACAAATAAACACACACTAATCCCAATCTCCCCCACATCTCCCTACACTTTCTGGCCTTTCGTCTTGCCCTCCATTCCCGTATTGTCTGGGGAATCGACGATTACCTGTGTCGGTGAGTTCTTCCCCCTCCTGAACGTAAACAGGTTGGAAGTCCAAGAACCACCGTCGAGCAGGGGGGGCTGCTTGCAGCCCCGGGTGTGACGAGACGCGCAGCCCGCAGCAGGGTAGCGCGCGCATGCCCAAACATCCGACGTCTCGATTTGTTCGAGACATGGGCGACCTCCCGACCACTTGCCCAGGACCGGTTTTTCATTCCGAGTCGATTTTCTGACTGTCCCGAGGCCCGGCGAGGGCCCCGAGAAGCCGAAAACGACGAAAAACCTACGTCTCGATTTTTTCGAGACGCCCGAGGTCTGGAAATGGGTGCCGCGGCTTTGCGGCACTGCAGGATCCCCGGGGCGCGGACCTCATTGGAGGGGAGGGGGGAGAGGAGAAGGGGGGGAGGCGATGGAGAGGAGGGGCGGGGAGGAGGAGGAGGAGGAGGAGGAGGAGGAGGAGGAGGAGGAGGAGAAGGGAGGAGGAGGAGAAGGGAGGAGGAGGAGGAGGAGGGGGAGGAGGACCGCCCTGGGCCTTTGGGGCCGTTCTGGGCCCGTCCCGGCCCGCCTTGAGGCCGTATAGGGGAACTTTCGAACGTTTTGGAACTATCTTGGGCCGAACGATCGAGCAAGCAAAAAATCGGCGACATGTGTTTTTACTTGATGTTGCAATTTTGGCCTCCACAGGTCATCCACAATCTCTCCCGCGGGCGTCTCGGGCCTCTCTTGCCTCCTACAGGGCGGCATCTGGAATCTGGACCGTCAGGGGCCATCTCGGTGAGGTCCGGTGCCGTCTTGCTGCGCTCCTTTTGCCCGCTGCTCTGACGATCATTTTTTCAGAAGCGCGGGATGAGCCAGGATGTATTCGGCGAGGGGAGCATCCCGAGTAGGATTGACAATGTATACCGAGTGAAACAACTACCGTCCAGCCGACACCTCTCGCGGTGACCATGCTGGCACCACCCACGCAGAAAGCCGTACTACAACAAGTGGCGCCAGCAAGCACATCGTGCAGACGCGGGATCGGCAACGAGAGGATATCTGCAGAGAACGCGTATCTCGAATGGGAAGCGAGAGCAACACGGAGAGAAACGATAATAGCATTACTTCTCAGACATCCACTCGCATAGAGACGTAGCGCTACACTGAATGACCTAAGATCCGACCTAGAGGGCACATCTTGGTCTAGACGCACCACATCCGTCACCCACCACATACCTAAGCCACGCAATTGAGGATAATAGTGGAAGGGGCGGTTGGGCCGCTTTGTCGGGGCTGCGGGGCTCGAGCGAGCGTCACTGTAAAGAAGCCCGCCGTTAGCGCCGACTTGCTCGAAACGGTCAGTCCGCCGCAGGCGCTGGTCTTTTCAAAACAATGTTGGGGTGTCGGCGATCTCTTCGGCGGGTGAAGGGCTCGAAGGCCAATGCCGAGAAGCTTGCCGCGGGCGCCGATTTTGAAACAGAAACGCAACCCTCCCGCCGCGGTCGTCGGCTTTCATGCAGAAATAATGTGGGTGGGCCGCGGGGCGGGTCGTCGGCGGGTCGCGGATTGCGGTGGGTTGCGGGTGGGTCGCGGGTGGGTCACGGATGCCTCGCGGGAGGGCCGCAAATGGGTCGGGTAACGGGTGGGTTGCGTGTGGCTCACGGGTGGGTCGCGTCGCGGGTGGGTGGTGGCGCGAATGAATCGCGGGCAGGTTGCGGCGCGGGTGGGCGGCGGGTGGGTCACGGGTGGGTCGGGTCGCGGGCGGATCGACGGCGGGTCGCGGGTCGCGGCGCAGGCGGGTCGCGGCGCGGGTGGGCAGAGGGCGGGTCATGGGGCAGGTCGCCGGGTGACGGCGATAACAAGAACAAAAATAACGACGTCACTCCGCACCACGAACCCTCACTTCAACAAGCCACGCGCCCAAGGGACAGTGTGAGACGGTCCGGCCCCCTCACTCCGATATTTACAACCACCATCCCACTAGCAGTATTCAAACATCGACCAGGGCCATGAGGCACCAAACGTGCACCTCAACCGACGACCACTTTCCAAGTCTCGCCTTTGATCACAAGCATGTTCAAGTCGGATGTCCCTTGATGTACGTCGAGTGCGAGGCTGGCGTTCACATCCACATCCACAAACATGAACTGGTAAGAACAAGGGAACCACTCTTTGGGAAAGGGATCCGGGACCTGCAGCCTGTCACAGAACAACATCAGCAAGGTCTTTAAGCACGCGATCGCATCGTCGTGGTGGCCATTCTGCAGGGGGACTCTGCAGAAGCCCGGCGCATCGGAGAGCACGTTGTTCACACGCTGAGAAGCGTTAGGAAGACTCCGCCGCCATGGCGTAGCACAGATTTCCCAACCGCTCGATGTAACAGTATAATCCGATGTCCATGTGATAGACGTAATGTTGTTGGGGTCCAAACTTTGGTGATGAGGGCCGGTACTTCCGCTGTAAGAGATGCCATTTACATGCAGGATGTCAATATCAGATTCGGTCTTGAAAGCGGCAGCATCAATGTCTACAAAGCCGCGCAGTGATCCTTGGCATTTTATGTTTTTTCTATAATTATCAGGGTAGTTCGGACTAGAGAGGCACCATTTATTGTCAGAGACTTGCCAAGCACCACAATTCCACGACACATGCGGCCAGTGGCAGTGGGCCTGCGGGGAAACGAACGCATAAAATCCGTCAAGGCCACAAGCCCTGGGCACAACACCGACTAACGGGCCTGGGAAATCCACAGAATCTTCATGAGGCACCAACTGGAATCCCCGCACACCTTCGCGCATAGCTGCGCCTTGAGGCTGTAGTGCCACGTAGTACTCCGAAAACGTGAAATTGCCGTTGGTTTCTTTCATCACGTATGGCCATAGCTCGGCCAGTTCGGCCTGGACAGACTTGCGGACATTACGTAGTAGCTGCGGAGCGCGATCGCACAGATGTTTAGTGAGGGGCCAAAGCATATTACTCTTGAGCTGCAGCTTATACGATGATCCACCCGTGTACGCTGCTGGCGCTGCGCACGCAGTTCCAGACAATCGGCACTGTCGCTGCTCAGGGTAGTAGTCGATCGCAACGCAGTCCGGTTCCCTTTCGCACCTGTCCATGCAGGATTTCACAGTACTGGAACGGCCACCATGGTCATCTGTCGAGGGACGCCCTGCACAAGTTGCCCCGTTCCCTGTCATTACCCAGCGGACATCCGCGCGCGATGGCATCGGATTCTGGCGCTGTTTGACCACGCTGGTCAATGCCGCTACCTCTCTCTTGAAGCATGTGCTTGACCTTTCTGTGCCGATCCGCCCCCTTGCTCCCTGGCACGTTGAGGCGTACTAGAATGCCAAGTGCTGTCTGGTAGGGGATCTGTAATCTTCTGCGGACCCCCCCCCTCTGCCCAGGACTCGCCGCACGCATCGCCCCCTCTTTTCGAGGCTCTGTCGGCGTCCAGACACGTCCCTGGCGCTCTCCAAGGCGTCCAAACTACCCAAGATGGCTTCCAAGACGGACCTGGGAGGCCACCATAGCTGCCAAGATGGCCCAAGATGCCTCCAAAACGGCCCACGAGGCCCAAAAGAACCCCCAAGAGCGTTCCAAGAGGACCCCCAAGAGGGCCCAAAGACGCACAAACCATTGATGTTCAGTGTGTGGTTTCAATGCTTTTCACGTTTCGCCTTTTCGGGCTTCCGATGCTCCAAGACGGCCCCAGGGGCCCCCCAAACCGCCCCAACACGGCCCAAGAGACCCCCAAGAGGGCCCCAAGACGGCCCAAAAGGGCCCCAAGACGGCCCAAGAGGCGCCCAAGGCAGCCCAAGAGAGCCCCAAGACGGCTCTGAAAGGGGGCCAAGAGGGGGAACACAAACCGAAAATTCGAGCCTTGCGCCCGAGAAGGCCCCCAGGAGGCCCCAAGAGGCCTCCAAAAAGCCCTACGAGGCCCCCAACAGGCCCCCAAACGGCCCCCAAGAGGCCTCAAAACTGCCTCCAACAGGACCCCGAGAGGCCGCCACCGATATCCCAACGATCATCATCATCATCACCACCACCACCGTCATCATCATCATCATCATCATCATCATCATCATCATCATCATCATCATCATCATCATCATCATCATCATCTTAATCATCATCATCATCAATATCATCATCGTCATCATCATCATCACCACCACCACCACGACCACCACCACCACCACCACCACCACCCTCCTCCTCCTCCTCCTCCTCCTCCTCATCATCATCATCGTCATCATCATCACCACCATCATCATCATCCTCAGCATACTCATCATCAACATCATCGTCATGTTCACAATCATCACCATCATCATCATCATCATCGTCCTCATCATTATCATCATCGTCGTCGTCGACGTCGTCGTCGTGGTGGTCGTCGTCGTCATCATCATCGTCAATGTCCTCCTCATCACCCTCCTCCTCATCCTCATCCTCATCATCATCCGCATCCTCTCCATCCTCCTCCTCCTCATCATCATCATCATCGTCGTCGACATCGTCGTCGTCGTCATCGTCATCGTCACCGTCATCGTCATCGTCATCATCATCACCATCATCATCATCATCGTCACCATCATCATAATCATCATCATCATCATCATCACCATCGTCATGATCGTCATCGTCGTCATCGTGGTCGTCGTCGCCGCCGCCGCCGTCGACGTCGTCGTCGTCGTCGTGGTCGTCATCGTCGTCGTCGTCGTCGTGGTCGTCGTCGTCGCCATCATCGTCGTTATCGTCATCGTCATCGTCATCGTCATAATCATCATCATCGTCATCATCACCGTCATCATCATCACGACCGCACGATCATCATTTTCATACCCGCAAACATCATCACACTCATCATCATGATCGTGACCATCATCATCATCATCATCACCATCATCATCAACATCATCACCACCACCGCCATCACCATCACCATCACAATCACCGTCACAATCATCATCATCATCACCATCACCGTCATCATCACCACCACCACCACCATCACCATCATCATCATCGTCGTCATCGTCGTCGTCCTCCTCATCATCATCATTATCGTTTTAGTCATGCCTCGCGAGTACGGCATCCGGTGCCCCCTCGAACGAGAGCCGCCGAGAATGCTGGACTGGCACGGTGGCGGGACTTGCCGCAGGCAGCTGGATACCGAAATCATTCAAAGCCTGCCTGTGAACTGCCTCTCTAATCAACTTTAGAGTTCCCCAGCTCCAATACATGTCGCAAGAGACGAAATTACCCTTCGATAGATGCACGTATTCGCAATATGCCAAGCCAGCTTGCCAAATCATACCGTGGATCACGTTGGCATACTGCAGCATGTGTTGTGGGCACGGTGCTTCATGCTGAAGGACAGCTGCCATGTGTACCAATAGAGGTTTGCCAACCAAACCGGTGTTTTCACCTGTAATCCAATCTTGGACTTTGGATATGCTGAGTTTCAAACGTGGGCACATGTCGTGTACGGATTCCAGATAATGCTTACGCCGCGTGGCCCAGTCCTCGGGCGAGCTTTTGTCATGAAACTTCTTCTGTGCCTTGATCCAGAATTCGATACCACTAAGAGCGTTACGTATTTGATTTGCTAGCGATTCCCTCTGCATCTCGCGAACTGAAGCCAAGACGGCAAACATCTGGTTCTGAGACTCGTGCAACAAACGGAACAT